CTACCCATCCTCTATTTCCACTACATGCACCCCATATCATTACACTTGACGAGGTGTGTGGACGAAGAACAAATTTGGAGCTTCTTCTTAACCTGAAGTTTCGTCACTGTGTAACGAAATATTTTGCCTACCACATGGGGTATTAATACAAGGGGTAGAAAATTGGGGTCTGAAACTAAGGGGGGTGGAGATAAGGCAAGCAAAATAATCGCTACTTGTGGGAACTGCACTCAGGGTTTGTCGGGGCAAGATGGCTTCTTAAAAAGGCTTAGCTAATTGTTAACAACATAAACTGATTGATAGTTATTTTCATTTCCAAAGAAGGGTGCGTGAAGTCAATCTCAATGAACGAGTGGACACTTTCTTAGATCTTACGTTCAGTTATCGAAGTTATCTGAACAAGGTATAAAATGGACAAAAATGACTTATTTCCCCTTCTGACCTTCATATGTATAAAAAACCGTGATTATATCAGTATGTTCTGTAAAAAAATCCTTACCTTCGTTATATAGCAAATTTTACGTATCTTCAAAAGTTTTATAGCTATTTTTAAAAAAGGTCGTATTTTTAAAAATGTCAAATATTATTTAAAAATTATTAATTTTAAATTGTTTAAAGTTTTGGATCCCATTACTGATGCTTAACAAGTTAAGTGCCATGAGAGACCAACACAGACTAACCACACATAAAAGTTATATACAGGCAGCGTAATGCCGACGTAGACACGCTAGGTTGTCAGAAAATCCTGTGTAGCTCAACAGCGGCTTTTTGAACTCATTTAAAATACACGGGGACATTTCGAGCCCGGCCAGATGGTCTAGAAAGCATACTTGGCCTATGCTTCTGAGATGTCGACGAAGACTTACATGCCCCATAATATTTATAAGTAATATAGCATAAATATTCATAGAGAGAACACATTTTAGGCAAAATAAGCTGTATTTTCATAAATCAAAACGTAATAACATTATATCAAAATTGTATCTAAAGTACTAATTTAATTTTTTGTCACGGAATGTATGACAAAAAAAAAAGCCAAGGCAATAGAATTTTTTACAGCCATCACATGTCATTTGATGTCAATTTTGACCATTTTCCATAATGGCTGGCGTGACAATAGGCCCCGAACTCTTCCTTAAATTTGGTAATCGTCATGCTTTCATTTTCAATGTTTTGATGCGCGACATAGGCATTTATAAGTGCTGAACCAGTCAAGAGCTCCATCGAATAACTTTCTGTATTAAATTCCTTTACGTAATGGCGAATTATAGCTGTTCATTCGATCTGATATATCAATCAAGCTTTTATATTTATTATGTTTGGTGACATTCGTTGGGTTTACAACATCACGGCGTGCCTTTTGCATTGTCACCATTTCGTCAAAAAATTTGGTACTAATCATCAGCACATCTCGCTTGTCACTCCACTTCTAAACAACGATGCCCGAATTATTTAGTTCAGCTACATGTTCGCCTACTTTTAATTTTTTGGAAATGACGTTTTTGGGATTATATTTGCGGTTTGCATGTGGCAATTCAAGGAAGAAGATCTGTTGGCCGAAGGCAAAACTCATGGGTGAAGAATCTACGTGATTGGTATCAATGCAGATCGATTGATTTATTTAGAGCAGCAAGTTCAAAAATAAAAATAACCATTATGATTGCCAACGTCCCTAGAGAGACGGCACTCTAAGAATAAGATGTGGCGTACCAATTATGTAAGTTTTGCGGTGTAGGAGTTCATGTGCAAGTGTGACAGAACTGTAGTAGTTATCAATCGCAAGTGTCGTCCCTTGTCAAGCAGTCCATCCATAAGTTTTATTACTACATTTGTTAGTACGGTACTACCTTTAGCACGTTCTTTTCCACAATATACCTTAAAATCGTAAGTATAACCTCCCGGACAAAGTTTGAATAATTTTATTCCAAATTTGTTGACAATATACTGCTTGAATTTTAGTCGCCCTTGAAAAGGCGCTAAAGTTTCGTCAATGCACACGTTTTCCTTTGGAACGATGGCAGTCTTGACTTTATCCTTGAGACTCCTAACCAAGGAAACGATGTTCTGCAAACGGTCATTTGTTGTTACTAAAATATCTTTGAATTGCAGCCTTTTCCACAATAACTGGGAAGCGATTCGTTGACGTTACTTTTTTTGATATTATTCACATAAAGATCGTTCTTTGACCACTACGAATGAAAATATGGAAAATGACATAATTTTATCCACATAACTATACCCAGAAATCATAACGGAACCCAGACACTGCAGGACATAACGATTTTGTCCTAAACATTAAAAAAAATCAGAACAAAATAAATTAGGTATTTGTCATCATGGATAAAAGAATATCGTCTACAAAATATTCGTAGAATTAAAAGCGCGATTTGTTGTAGAAGTATTCGTATAATTGTGTATGAAACCCTGCAGAATTATTTTCTGCAGGCTTTCATACACAAAAATGTAAATTTCTGTCAATTTTGTTGACCGGCTCCCAGACAATATTTTTATGCATTGCATTGGATATTATTGGTTCTTCTAAAATTTCCTGTTCGGAGACTTAGAATGTTGGGCAATGACAAATTTTATAGCAGCATTAACATGTTCCCTGATTTACTGGTGGACGCCGATACATCTTGTCCCGACATAGCAACGTAGCAGCGTAGGACGTAGCAGCTGAATGTATTTTCAATTTGCCAGGAACATTTTTAGGGCACGTGTCTTCTAGAATGTCTTTATCTATTTCTTCAACATCAGACACATAATCGAATAGGAGTCATTTATAATATCCTCTAATTCAGCCAATGTATAAAATCGCCTGGTACCCATTTCTGAAACCATTAAATAAACTTCTCCAAAAACCATTGATTTGAAACCTATTAATATATTATTTATAGTCAATATTATTAGAGCATAAAGATACTAAAATCGAAATATTATTACAGAATGTACTATGATAAAAAATTACACAGCATTGGCCACAAGCCCCAAATGGGTATCGCGCTAAAAATCCTAGTACAGCCCTGTGTGTTAGTAATTAAAATTTGCAAATGTGATAACTGGCTAATATAACCTACAACTGAATAATATGCATGCCTAAAATTAATTTAAAGCTAAAAACAATACGAAATCAAATACTTACAAAATAGTAATATTTCTCTAAACAACTTAAGCATACCATTTCTACTTTGTGCTTTGAATATTCGAAAAATTATTCACAGTAAGTAAAATACCTCCACTCACCATCTAAATAGAAGTATGTATTGAAGTTGATACAAAGCCATTTACATTGAAATTTATTATAACTGCTGCCCAGTGATACAAAATAAAACAACTCGATCCCCAAATGGGAATGGATTAATATTCGCGGCCTATTTGAGAGGGAGGAAGGGTCAATTATTACTACTAAAGATATCACACAACTTTCTCTGCAAAAAGCAGATCAAATATACTCGTTTTTTCACAGATCCGCCCTGGTATATTAGCAATATTATAGTATAATATAATAGTAAGTATATTATTTATATATTGTATTTATATTAAAAATATCCATACCAGACTAACATTATTATTTATATTAAAAACATCAATACTAGACCAATAAGCTGATTCAAACAGTATAAATAAACTGTTATTATACTGTAACGGCAGTGTCAGATTTTAATCCTTCTTATATTATATTTTTCTCCCGTGTAATATTTTTTTTTCGTTGATTTTAGATTTTCTTTAGAACGATCTAATAAATTTTTGGTGTAATTTCCAGAGAATTTAGTCAGTAAAATACAAATGACAAGCAAAAACAAAAATAAAATGTACCTAATAACCGTAAAAAAATAATTTTCGAAAATATTTACGAACAGCATCCTGTGAATTGCAAAAGCAAAAATTCCCATGGCATCAGGTGATAGACACCTGTCGACAATGACGATTATTGAACCTACTTCCGAAAATTTTATGATTTACCGTACTACCTCCTTCCTTCCTCATTTGAATTTTATCATTTGGGAACCTCGAAGTAACAGGTTCTCACAGTACCCGAACAGCAAGTGATTCTTTATTCTTTTATTGTAGGCCGAAGGATAATAATGTCTCAATGGGTAATGCCGAAAAGTATAAAGGGCTATAAAAGTCGTATTTATTCTGCAGGGTCAGTGTTTACTATTTACTTTTTAACAATGTCGTGTATTTACGATAATGTTAAATAAAACAATAACAATTACCGTGAACCATGCGCCCAACAGTGTCATAATATTTTAAGCAAATTCAATTAAACTCATTTGAACGCTCTTCTTTATATGGGTCATTAATTTTATTTTTGTTTCACCTAGCTTTTTTATATATAAATAAAATATATAAATACAAGATATTGCTAATATACCAGGGCGGATCTGTGAAAAAACGAGTATATTTGATCTGCTTTTTGCAGAAAAAGTTGTGTGATATCTTCAGAAGTAATAATTGACCCTTCCTCCCTCTCAAATAGGCCGGGAATATTAACCCATTCCCATTTGGGGATCAAGTTGTTTTTTTGTATCAGTGGGCAGCAGTTATCATAAATTTCAATGTAAATGGCTTTGTATCAACTTCAATACTTCTATTTAGATGGTGAGTGGAGGTATTTTACTTACTGTGAATAATTTTTCGAATATTCAAAGCACAAAGTAGAAATGGTATGGTTAAGTTGTTTAGAGAATATTACTATTTTGTAAGTATTTGATTTCGTATTGTTTTTAGCTTTAAATTTATTTTAGGCAGGTTATATTAGCCAGTTATCATATTTGCAAATTTTAATTACTAACAAACAGGACTGTACTAGGATTTTTAGCGCGATACCCATTTGGGGCTTGTGGCTAATGCTGTGTATTTTTTTTATCATAGTATATTCTGTAATACTATTTCGATTTTAGTATCTTTATGCTCTAATAATGTTGACTATAAATAATATAATAATAGGTTTCAAATCAATGGTTTTTGGAGAAGTTTATTTAATGTTTTCAGAAATGGGTACCAGGCGATTTTATACATTGGCTGAATTAGAGGATATTATAAATGACCCCTATTTCTTAGATGACGATGAAGATAATGGAATTTATATTGTTGAATTGCCACCCGATAACGTCGATGATGTGTCTGATGTTGAAGAAATAGATAAAGACATACTAGAAGACACGTGCCCTAAAGATTTTCCTGGCAAATTGAAAATACATTCAGCTGCTATAAATACTGAATCATTATCACCGTTAGACGTGACACCTGATGAGACTCCTTATAACACTCAAAACGAAATCACACAGAAGCGCCAAATGAAAACTGAAGCTCGGAAACTAAAACCAAATTTAGACTGGCGAAAATGTAGGTCAGACTTTATAAAAAACTTTTGGGATAATACGGATATTGTACAAGCTTAAGAACAAATTAAAGTCAGAGGTGCCATAGATTATAGATTTGATACTAAAAATGAAGTGTTTGGTGTCATTTGAAAAGACACATTGTCTTTTAACGCTTTAAATACAAATATTCTCATTTGAAAGCTGTGTATAATCACTTAAACAATCGTTGTTTTAACACATTATTTTTTTTATGATGAATTAACAAAAATTACCTTCATAACAATATAATTTTATGGTATTAGATTTAATTTATAGAATTGAATTAAAAATTATTATTTATTAGTATCTTTTTTTTTCAATTATACAGCAATAATTAATCTCGAAGAAAAAATGCTGATACTGCTCTATTAACTTTGATAAAATTGATTTAGAATTATGAAAATTTGAGGCCTACTACATAACTATCTACCTAAAACAGTAACTATAAACATTTTTCCATACCTGATAAATCTTCTACAACTTCCTCTTCAATTTTAATCTCTTCTTCCTTTAATATATCCATAATAGTCAGATCCATCACACAAAAATATCATCACATATCTTTAACCACTTCACAGTTATATTTTTAATTTATCTGAAACGGCAGAATCAAAAAATCAGAACCAATAATTCACTTTTTATTGCTTAGTTATTGTACTAATTTTTTGATGCTTCCATACAAGATGCTGTAGAAATAAATTAGTTTAACATACCAATGGATTTAAAATGACCACTAAATTATAACTAATTTTTTTCACTGAATACGAATATGTATGTATTAATCTCATTTTACGTAAGATGAATAGTTTTCAACTATCTACCCTTTTCCATGTATAAAGAAAGTTGCCCAGCCGTTGAACTATGAATGATTGAAGTAGGATCTCTTGATTATTTTTCACTCAACTAACGTACGAAAAAGGGCACGTTTTGGACTAATGAATCAACAGACACGAAATGGACGTTGTAGCAAACAGGAAAAAAAATTAACGGACAGCATAAAAGTAAATTTTCCTGGCTACGACATCTACAGGAACGATCATAAAGAAAATTCGGGAGGCACAGCTATCCTAGTAAGAAAAAGAATTCCACACGCCAGAATACTAACACTAACAATTAAACACTATGGAAGCAAGTATAATTAACGTACAAATGAGGCAAGAAGAAATCAGAATCACTGCATATGTAAGGGCATGAGATCCTATAATAGAAGACAACCTGAACGCGTTCCTGAATGTAGAAGAGTCGTTCATAATAATAGGAGACCTAAATGCGAGGTCCCCAAACTAAAACGATAGAGCTACGAATAGAAACAGAAGATTACTAGCCAGTCAGACCGAGATCAGAACATTAAACGAAGGATCATAAGACCACAACCCCATACTACTAGAAATAGGAACATGGAAAAGAAAGAAAACAAAGTGGTCAAATTACAAAAGACTTGTAGAAGACTTGTACTAGACTTGAGTACTGGAATCAACGACGTCGCAATGATAAATAATCCAGAAAGAAGAACTGAGAAATAGCATTACAGAAGAAGAAATAGATATACACATGGAAAGGTTTAAAGACATAAACCAGGAAATCAAGAACATAAAATGAGAAAAGAACAGAGCCAAAAAGAGAGCAGGAAGGACAAGAAATCAGGAAGACAAAAACAGGGCAAATCGGCTAAACAGAGAAGTAGAAGAAAACAGCACTAGCAGAACATAGAAGCCGATAGTGGAATATCCACGTTCAAGAAATGAAGGAACAAGGTTCAAACATACAAAATATATGAAAACTACAAAAAATACTAAGAAATGAAAACTCAAACCTCCACTACACGGTGAAAATGGAATTATCTACACCATATATAAAAAAGCCGAGGTGATGAGTCTTGTCGAGAGAGAGAGTGTACATTAAATTATCACCAAGCCGAAGATGTAGACTTCATCGAAGAAGTCGAAGAACAACAAGAAATGTCCGAAGATCCAGAGGAGATAATCACACTTATGTATCCGCAAGAAATACCCTAACTAATTAAAAATACATCACCGAGAAAAGCACCTGATCTAGATAAAATTTCAAATATAGAACAAATGACGGTATTATATTTTGATTTGATACAGAGCAGCAACAAGCCGCATATACGTATTTCGATCTCTTTAGATCTCCTCAGTACGGTATAGTTACTACTCCATATCAAACCAAAATATTTTTCCGTCGTAGATCATAGTTATTAAAAATAACTATTTACGGACGTAACTACGCCATCTAAGAACAAAAAGAGAAATCACATGATTTCTACCTGGCGAAATCGAATTCAAATAGGCCGCCGTGCTCCCTAAGACTTGCGAAGCAAACAGCTTGATGAATGCATCGGCAAGAGAGTCTAAAAATTGCACTCCAAATGCCGTCCATCATAGCCTGATATGGAGTACCAGAAATCGAATTCACTACGAATATAGGCCATGATGGACGGCATTTGGAGTGCAATTTTTAGACTCCCTTGCCGATGCATTCATCAAGCTGTTTGCTTCGCAAGTCTTAGGGAGCACGGCGGCCTATATTTGAATTCGATTTCGCCAGGTAGAAATCATGTGATTTCTCTTTTTGTTCTTAGATGGCGTAGTTACGTCCGTAAATAGTTATTTTTAATAACTATGATCTACGACGGAAAAATATTTTGGTTTGATATGGAGTAGTAACTATACCGTACTGAGGAGATCTAAAGAGATCGAAATACGTATATGCGGCTTGTTGCTGCTCTGTATCAAATCAAAATATAATACCGTCATTTGTTTTGTTTATTTACTTCATTTGGAGTACCAGAAATCGAATTCACTACGAATATAGGCCATGATGGACGGCATTTGGAGTGCAATTTTTAGACTCCCTTGCCGATGCATTCATTAGGGAGCACGGCGGCCTATATTTGAATTCGATTTCGCCAGGTAGAAATCATGTGATTTCTCTTGTTTTTTTCAAATATAGCTCTGAAGTATCTACCAGCAAAAGCAATTCTTAGATACAAGCTCTTCCCAAATCGATGGAAGGAAGCCTACGTTATCATGATTCCGAAGCCAGGAAAGAATACCATGTTTCCTCAAAACTACAGGCTGATAAGCTTGCTACCAGCAGTCAGCAAGACCCTAGAAAGAGTAATACCAAGCGCAGCATTCTTGGATGTTAACAAAGGCTTCGACAGAGTCTGGCATAAAACCCTAATATACAAAATGAGAGGCTACAGATATAGTGTACTGTCATCCCTACTGTACACAATATACACCGCAGATCTTCCAAGAACACCAGAGACACTACCCAGCCTTTATGCAGACGACACAGCGATTGCGGCTAAACACAGAAACTTAGAAGTAGAGATCAACAATCTGCAGACAACATTGTGACAAGTGCAAGATAATCCCGTCGAATGGAAAAGAGAAGCGAAATACCTAGGATATATCCAGAGCAACAGCCAGAGCAGCAATGAGAGGTCTCGCAGGTAGAAAAATCAAACTGCGCATAAAGATGAAAATGAAACATAAACCGCATCATACTTCCAATAATCACATATGCATCTCTCGCATTTGGACACATAAGCAATTCAAATATATAGGAAAATACAAGCAACCCGCAATAACATCCTCAGAAAAGTATCAAATGTACCCAGATATGCCGCTGAACGCTTTCTGTTTAATATAAGGTTGAATGTTCGAATAATTAAACTTTGAGGGTATACAAGGCAACTATCGAACACGGTGATTAATTTAATCTTGCCCAAGTACTTTCAATCAATAGATCATCTTCAGGGGCATCTGAAATAAGCCAAGAAACGTTTTTTATAAACAGGAAAATTAATTCACTTGGATAAAAAACTCCAAGTTTATGGTTGAAAAAAATTTTTTATATGTGATAAACGTTTATAGACTTACTTCGTCAATTGTGGACTATCCGACATAGTAGAATGTCATAAATTTAAAACTGGACATAACAATACAAAATACACTAGTTTGTCTTAGTGTAGTGTATTTTGTATTGTTATGTCCAGTTTTAAATTTATGACATTCTACTATGTCGGATAGTCCACAATTGACGAAGTAAGTCTATAAACGTTTATCACATATAAAAAATTTTTTTCAACCATAAACTTGGAGTTTTTTATCCAAGTGAATTAATTTTCCTGTTTATAAAAAACGTTTCTTGGCTTATTTCAGATGCCCCTGAAGATGATCTATTGATTGAAAGTACTTGGGCAAGATTAAATTAATCACCGTGTTCGATAGTTGCCTTGTATACCCTCAAAGCTTTCTGTTTAGACAACTGCAACAAAGGAGATAGATAAAATGGTAGAAAAAGCCAGAAGTAGGTTTTCAGAATTAGAGAATCACCCAAGCATAATCCTGCGGGAGATAGTAAGATATGATGCGTTCCATCGATCGAGGCACAAAAGACCAAAACATCAAATCATGGCAAACACATAAAGTCCAGATAATTCGTAGCTCTGGAAATTTTAATAATTGATGTTTATTTTCATGACAACCTTCAAAAAAAAAAAAATAAATGAAGACTTCGGCCACCAAAAAAAAATCTAAAATACTAACAAAAAAGCGACAGTCATCCAAAAAAATTAACAAAGCGACAAAAGCTGGGCAGAAAGGTCCATATCCTGGGGCACCGAGTCGCCGAACTGGGTGCAGCCCAAAGCAGAGACTCTAGGTTCGAGCAAGCAATTTCATTTTGATGATACGTCACTAGAGAAAGTATTGAAGAGCGCCTCACACTAGCCTGCATTGATCGGGTTAGGATATCGTGTTGGAGTTCTTGTACCCAGGACTTTCACACCAAAAGCATTTACCCAAAATCTAAAAGTCCTATAAGTGTGTGAGTTGATATTTTATGTAGGTATTTTGGCAAAATTTTTGAAAAATTTTCTTTTTTCAACAAGTATTGCAAGTCAGGGTATTGGGCCCAACACACATTTTAAACCTATTATATAAAAACACTAGTAGTATTATATAAAAGTAAATGGTAGAGATGTAATATCCTTCATAAAAATAGGT